TTTTAATTGTAATTATTTTTTTTATAAATATAAGTACTTTTTTGTTATATATTTGTTTAATTTTATAGATCTAAATATTTTAAAGGATTGAGACATGAAACATCCAAACTCAAATATTTTATGTCAACAGATCAAAGTTACTATGGAACGTGAAATAGTTACGTAAACCTAGAACTAGAAGTCATGACGTATAACATGCGTATAGGTAAGTGTCTTGTTAGGATGAGATGTGATGGCAAAAGAACTGGTTTTCTCCGAGTTAATGTGATGATGTACCAGTTTTTGCCACATCAACTTGGTAAAACCGGTTTATAACATTGGGAGACCAAAAAAAGTGTGGACCAGTTTTACCACCACTTTTGTAAGCCCCGAAGCCAAATTAATAAATGAATTCACCAACTTTCTTATTGATGCAGAAAGTTTATACGTGGGAAAAGAGAAATCTAATGTGATAAAAGTCATAAACATGTAAAAATACATCAGATTCATAACTGAAGATGCTATAATACTGAAATGTAGTAAACATGATTAAAATAGTTTGATGGAGGGTATTGTAAGGAAAACATGCCAATCAAATAGAAGCAAAAGCCCTCGGATGTAAGTGTCGGAGAACTTATCTACCTACTCATGTTCAAATCCAGCTGTTATGGAAGCCCTTTTGATTATGGAGGATCGCATGTCATGACTTCAGTCCATTTATGGTCACCTTGAAAATTAGCCGATACGCATAAGCTGACTCTACCCACGATTACCCATATAACATAATGAATTTGAATAATCTCACAATTTACATGTGACGGTGTCAAATATGCATTTTAACTACACCTTAAAAAATCCTTTGAAGTTTGTCATGGATGTAATAGATTTTCATAGCTTAGAACATCTCCAACATATTATTTTAAGATTAAAAATTAAAAACTAAAATCTTTACAAAAATTACATTCAACTCCAATAGATTCTTTCTTCATAGACTTCAACGTTAATTGTAGTAATTAAAATATTCATTAGATTTAAAATCTTAATAAATTTTCAAATAATTAAAGATTATCTGACATGATAATATATTCAACTTTAAAAAAACATTAATTTTAGAAAATTCTTTAAATTTAGAGATTGTTATCTTGTCTTTGTTATTCTTTATTTTAAAGAAACTTTCAGATAATTTAGAGATTTGTCTTCTCTATTTTAAAGAAGCTGTTGAAGATAAATCTGATAAAATGGAACTGGAAGCTATGATTCTCGAACGATGCAATATATCCGTTTCCATGCTCATAAATAGCAACGGATATTTTGTCGGTAAGCTATTGGTAATCACTTATTAAAAACCAACCATACCGATTAAAGGGTTGAGATAATAGTTTTTTTTCAAAATTTCATCGTTCTCGTCCTCTTTTCTTTCGTCAACCCCTCTGCATTTATGTACAATCACGTATTGGCTCCCAAACATTATACATGTCGAAATTTGATTAGAGAAACAAGAAGGGAAACTGGAAAGGAGTAATTTGTGATTTTTATTCAGAAGAAACATCAACTAGGAAATTTACATTATAAATTCGAGTATGGAGAGAAAACCGCAAGCTTCAACATCTCCGATCACTCTGACTTTTTCTCAATGAAGTCAAATGCACGAAAACGGCTTTACTGAGTGTATTCATCATAGTAATCATCGCTAATAACTGACACAAACCTCTCGAGCCACGGTAGCTGATGAAGGTCTTTAATGGTGTTGTCTAGATACGAAGAGTTGTCATCTTCTGCACACGAGCATGGTGGCAATGGTGCTGGCAGTGGTGATTCATAGGTGTTCGTGTTGTGGTCGCTGAGGCTGAAACCACCAGCAAGAAATCGTTGAATTAATGCAAGTTGTGATCTTTCTTGATCAGAGTAAGCATCTGTCATGTTTGAAAGTGAACCAAAAGACTCCCATGCCCATTCTTCGAACTGTTGTGCAGGGTCGGACGTAGTGGTTGGGGTAAGGGTAAGTTCGTCATCTTCTTCTTCTTCTTCTTCTTCTTCTTCTTCTTCATCGTCATCCCACACCGTACATTCACATGTCTGTCGACCATCCATGTATTCAGCACCACACGAATAACAGAACTCGTGTCCACACCTGCACAAATATATTTTACACTGGTTTTTAGTACAAAAATACCACAAGATTTCGTCAGTTTTTAAGAAAATATGGCTGTCTGTTTATAATTTAGTTGTTATGAGTTTGAAAAACGTGATGGATAGGATGCACGCGAACTTTCCCTTTATATATGGAAAAAGCAAAAGGGGTGCAATACGAGGATTTCCTACGGGTCACTCATCTTGTTACTACTCTCAGCCAAGCATGCTTAACTGTAGAGTGCAAAATGGAACAAAGTTTGGTTTAATTCCTATTTAGGATAACAAAGTTTTTTTTTTCTAAATCAATATAACAAAGTTCTAAAATTTCCTATTGAATCTAACATAACTTTCAAAATTTTCTATTTTGTACCCATTTAGATTGGTTTATTTCCTATTTAGTCCAACAAAGTTTCAACAGGTTATCGGTCAAAACAGGTATAAAATAGTAAATTTCGAATTTTTGTTACATAGATTGAGAAAAGAGTGTATTTATAAAACTAAAATAGGAACTAAGGCAAAACTTCGTTGCATTTTGATGTATTTTTCTTTTAGGTTATAAGCTTTCCACAAAAAGGGAAATGTAATACTTCCTATGGCCTATGGGACATCCCGAAAAGGAAACCGTAAAGAGCATTAACTTTCCGAATATGTACATTAGGTAACAACTTTAACTTTAGAGGTTGTCCACCGTCAAAATAAACCAAACCAAACCAAACAAACCCAGTATTTTCCATCTGGAAGTGAAGTATGGGAGGTTAAGATGTACCTAGCCCTTTCCTCTATCTCAAGAGACAGATAAGACTATTTTGATCAAATTTCAACCTAAAATTACCAATTTGCCCATTGTCATCATCACAAATTCTTGATACTACTAATATTGGTCTAAGAGATCTCTTTTCCATCATTATTGAAAGGTATCTTAGACATCCATTAGTCAAAAACACTTAAAATTTTCAAGGGAATGTTTCTTTTCAAATGAATGTATACACTAGGGATTTTCCTGGCTGTATCTTCAGGCTCCATGGGATTAGTCGAGGTGCGTACAAGTTGACCCACACACCCCACAATTAACCAAAAAGGATTCAGAAATCTTAAGAAATAAAAAAAGTCGAAAGATCATACCAGCAAGTTGTATGGTAGCAACCATGAGTTAATTCGATCATCCTTTCACACATCTGGCATCGCCTCAATCTTCTATTCTCCGCAACACAATCAAAATCAATATCACTATCCGCATCCATTTCCTTTAGCGAAATCTCCTGAAACTCATCACAACTCATCGAAGAATGCCAAGAAACCCCACACTTCACACATATCGATCTTCTACAAACAGGGCAATCGACACAATTACTTGCCAAATCTCCATTTAAATGAGGATCGAGAAGAACTAAACAATCACGATAAGGGCAGTAAAATTTGTCGGCTTTAGAGGCATTTGGTTCCAAAAGAGCTTCCTCCAACAATGTGAAAGAGGACACCGTAAGAAAAGACTTATATTCAGGGATAGAAATGTAATATCTACACTTTAGGCTCGGGCACCTAATGGGAACCTCAGATGACCTAACTTTTTCGTCAACATACGCCTTGATGCAATGAGAACAAAATTTGTGCAAACATTTCAGTGTCATCATCATGGGTGTTAGTTTATCTTCACGACAGATTGAACAATTTTCGACCGTTTGATCGCCCTTGGCATCATGAACGATCCCAATTGCCACTTGTGCCAGCTGCAACGGACGCTCCAGATTGACATCGAGAACACATTTTAGAACAAAATGTTCGAAATTTTCAACATGTTCTAGTATTCGTTGCTTCAATGCCATGAGAAGTGGGTTTTCGGGCATTTCATCATTTGTAACCTGCCAAAGGATCATTCATTAGAATGGTGTAAAATGCATGATATTCAAGATTTCAGAATCTCAAACGTTTAAGAGTTGATCGAATAGCGTTGTCAAATAATCAAAGCAGGTAAACCAAATAAAGCCACACCAATCGAGCTCAGCATATCCCACTCGGAGATGGGATCTCGGAGGTGGGATGTAAACAGACCTGACTCTATCCCAAAGAGTAGAGTGGATGTTTCCGAGAAAACCCTAGCCTGCGAAAAGGTGGGTGCAAAATGTTTAAAATAGGTGTTTCTGAGAAGACAAAATGCAACAAAGTTTGGTTTAGTTCCTATTTAGTTCAACAAAGAATTTTTTTCCTCAAAGTAGCAACGTTTCCTATTTCATACCCAATTTAACCGGTAACCACCAGATCCTATGACATTTAATGACGTGGATACCCATTTTACAAATGGTTAACGAAAGGGTTTCAGTGAAGTGAACAATGAACTTGACATCCACGTCATCAAATGTTACAAGATCATCAAGTTACCTATCAAAATGGCTAAAAATAGAAAATTTTGAAACTTTATTATTACATGGATTGAGGAAAAAAAATCATTACACTAAATAAGGAAAACTTCGTTGCATTTTGATTCATTTTGCCCATTCTTATATCTCCTCAGTATATGTTGAAACCTCTATTTTCTCCTCAAGAGCGTTTTTGGAGAGTATATTTGGGGTTCCACATATTCTCACAGTTATTGCTAGGGTTCTTATCACAACCACATTCCAATGAATATATCAAGGAACAAAACACTTTGGTTCCTTTTATCATAGGCGTTAGACAGAAAAAGCTGTCTTCATAACGGTTAAGAATGACCAAGTTACAACAAGCTATGGATCACGAAATCATGCTCCGGTCTGCGATCCAAATCAAGCTTCGAATCCAACACACACAAACAAAAACTGGGACCAAACTTAATGAACAAAAGATGCTACATTTTCAATATCATAAACTATAGCTTTTATGGAATAAGCCGCTCTACTTTTTTCCGGAAAAGACACTTTATCCGATGGGATATACTAAAGGGTGGTTTACTAAACACTTAGGGCTTGTTTGTTAGTAGCTTAATAGGCTTAATGGGACTCACAACTTATTCGGTGAGCTATACAGGACTGGTAATGATTTAATGATATAGAAAGTGGCTTATTCGGCAAGCTTCTAAGGGCCTGTTTACTTATGGCTTAATGAGCTTAGTGGATAAATTGGCTTATTCGCACAGACACTCAAGGCTGTTTACTTTGAGCTTAATCGCTCAGAAATGGGCTTATTCGCCCAGATGAAAAAAGGCACTTGTCCAGATTAAGTCGGCCAAAAGACTTGCCCTACCCTTCTTCTCCATCGATCCTTGCCTGTGTTCACCACCAACCATCGATCTCCTCCACCCACCACTGCCATCCAACGATGTCGCCTCTTTTTCCCATCGCCACTCACCTCCAGGTTTACAGGTTTCACCTCCCTTCTTCTCCATCGATCCTTGCCTGTGTTCACCACCAACCATCGATCTCCTCCGCCCACCACTGCCATCCAACGCTGTCGCCTCTTTTTCCCATCGCCACTCACCTCCAGGTTTACAGGTTTCACCTCCACTTGTCTTTCGCACAGACTTCAAATCGATTTCGGTGACGYAGGGGTTTTCAMGTCATTGCTTTTGGAGATTGGGGTATTAGGATTTCGATTTGGGGTTTCGATTTTGGGTATTAGGATTTCGATTTTGGGTATTAGGATTTCGATTTTGGGGTTTTCACGTCATTGCTTTTGGAGATTAGGATTTCGATTGGTGATGCATCRAAGTSGAGAGARATRAGGAGATGCAGGTTTTGTTGAGGAAGGAGATGCAGGTTTTGGTTTTTGTTCTTGGYTTTTGATTTTGGTTTTTGGGTTTTTTGTTCATGGAAGTCGAGAGAGATGAGGAGAGAAGCAACAATGCGTAGTTCAAACTCAAGGGGTAAATTGGTCATTTATGTTATTCAGACTGTTGATTCAGATAGAATAGTAAACAACAATATAAATTTATCCAGACAGACAAATTTATCCATACAGGACTTAATAGAAAATTTGGTAAACAGCCCTAAAGAGAGTTTTATATAGAAAGCTAAGTTTTTTTTTCCAAACCTATCCATCCCAATTATGAAAAAACCCTTATAAACAAAAATCTTCTCATTCTATACTGGCAGATTAATTCACACCGACAACTTTATCCATACAGGACTTGAGTAAAAACCAACCATACAGGACTTGAGTAAAAACCAACCATACAGCCCCTTATTGATTTTTACCAGGTAACTAAAAGGTCTTTACCAACAATTTCATAAATAAAACCCATTAAAAACAATCAATTTTATGCCAAAGATATTGCTCACCTGATCACATAAGATCTGGGAATTGGTAAATGCATATACCCTTTTGATGTTATTTTGAATTGCTTCAAATAAACCATCCATTAATGCTAAATAATCAGCAACTTCTTCAGCCACAAAAAATTCAAGTTTTTTCTGAACCTGAATCATAGGAACCTTCTTAGAATCTTCCATGATCACCCCAATTCCAGAAAACCCTACACCATTATTTCCAGCCTCAGAAATGGATACACCCTTGAAGAACATTCGAACTGAAAGTTCATCAAGTTCGTTTTCACCATTCTTCAACCCTAATTTCACAATTTCTTCCAATTCCTCCTCATCTGAACAACAACTTCGAAACTCATCTTCGTCATCTTCGAATTTCGATACGATTCTATCCTCCATTTTCGAATTATGTACGCTTAGCACCTGAAGAAAAGCTCGTGTATCAAAATCAAAACAAAATTCATCAGCTTCAGATCTAATTTCGGTTAAAACCACTTTAAATTAAACAAAACCCAGATCAGAAATGGTAAGAAAATCAAAACCCATATTCCAAATTAAGGGTTTTGAAGCATTAATTGCTTTCGATACTGTTCAAAATCAGTATAATGAAAAGGGGATTGGATTTGAATAAATAAAAAATGGAAAAATGTCTTAAGTGAAATGAAGCTTCCATACCATTACAATGATGGGATTTGTTCCAAATCCATGAACAAATTCTTCTGAAGGAATAATCTTTTGATCTGATTCACAACAAAGAAGAACCCCAATCTGACAAGATTGTTGCTTGTGTATGCACACAACACCACTTTTGATTATATAATAATCAGATTGAAACCCCACAAAAGATTAAACAAAATTAGAAAGTTTGAAATCGGATTTCTGGCGCTGGGGAAAGGAATCGAATCAAATCGGTTGCTGATGGGTTTTTGGCGTAATATGGAAGCAAAATGTTATACTCAAAATTTATATAAGTGAAAATTATATTAAAGAGAAATAAATTTTATTTTATTTCTTAATTACGGAAATTAATGTTATTAGATTTTGTTTTTAAACAAATAAAAAATAAAAAAAATAGCGTTAAAATTGATTTTATTTTAACCAATCAGAATTGGAGAGCACTGTACGACAAAAGCTATAAGCTGTGTTTAAGAGGGAGTTACCATCCATCGTCAAGTTGACTTATTCGTCTTTATTTTGATACCTAATTGTCATTAATTCATCAAGACCATGAATAAGAGCAATGTCATCACCTAAAAAATAATCAAATAGAAATCAATTTCAATTAAAAACAATTTTCAATAATCAATCTTTAAAAAATTTACTTTATAAAACTAAAATGAAATCAGTTTTACTTCTTTCAAAACCTTTATTTTAAATCATAGAATATATTTTACAAATGATTAAAGGACTATCTCAAACGGTATATGGCCACAAGGGCTTTTGGGGATCATCGTCGCCCCGTTTTTTCATAGTATAGTAAGAACATCTACAACTGTTATGCTATTTTAAAATATTTGAGGTTTTGCGAAAAGTTTGGTTACTAAACTCTTCTTTAAAATAGAGAAAAAAAAATGAAGGATAATAAAGAAATCTCAAAATTCAGAAGAAGAAAAAATATAATGTATCTATTGGAAATGTTCTAATAAGTCATTTTCAACTGATATGGAGCCAACGACCGAAGCCTCAGTGAACGGCGGTCGTAACTATAACAGTCCTAAGGTAGCGAAATTCTTTGTCGTGTAAGTTCCAACCCACACGAAAGGCGTAAAGATCTAGACACTGTCTCTAATAGAGGCTCAATGAAATAGACATGTCTATGAAAGATGCGGACTACTTGTACATGGTATGTTATAAATAAGCTCATGTTGAAACAAACTAGCACAATTTGATCAATCTCATTTTAAGGTAAATAAAATTTAATTGAATACATGTTCTGTATCGGTTGAAGTTTTAATAATTTTAAAAGTTGTAAAACTAAATACTAAATTAAGTGTGTTTGTATTATGAAAAATGTTAATTTAAATACTACAATTTAACGCTAGTAATTATTAGGTACGTCGGGTATCTAGATAGGATATGATAAAATATGACAAGACATAATAGAAAAGAATAGTTGTTCAACATTTGGGAATAAAGAACTGGATAGAAGAAAACAAATAAATTAACTAATTTACCTCTAGTGAGTTGTTTATATATTTTGATTAATTATATAATTTATTAAATTATAATAAAATAAATAATTTTTATAACAAGATATATTATTAGAAAGTTTTCGTCTAAATAATTAAAATGACACCAAAATAAAAAGTTTATGTAGTTTACAATTTTTATTTTATATATTATTTTATATTATTAATATTTAATAAATTACATATTTTAATCAAAATATAAAAAATTGTATAAAATTTATATTTTGAGGACAGTAATTTGAAAGTTTAAAAACACGAGTGTTTTAGAAGAAAAATAGATTATATTTTGAGGTTATATTAGTAAAATAACAGTCTGTTCCATTTTATTCTATAGGGAAGCGATGGAACACTCGTGTCCCACTTTATTCTACTGTGTTTTTGTTTGTTCCACATAAAAATCTTATCAAATATGGAACAATGATTTTTGTATCATTATGTTTGTTTCGTCAATTCCAGTACATCAAATGTAGAAGTGTGCATTGGGCGAGTCGAGTGGGTTAGGGTGGACAAACCAAAAATCCAATGGGATATAGAAACGAATCCTCAACTTTTGGGTTTCGGATTTCGAATTACTTTGGGTTCGGGTTAGTCAGCTTTGGGGTTGAAGTCGATCAGATTCGAGTATAGTTATAATGCAAAAAATTATATGAATTCAATCGATTTTGAAGATGAATTCAATCGATTAAGAGAACCGATGAAATCATAATAGGGTTTAGATATTAGAAAAGTGCACTAATGACAAGGATTTAAGATTTTAAAAAAATAATTAGATAAATAAAATATAGTTATGCTACATTTTTCGTCAGAAACCTTAAACGTTCTTCTTGACGCAAACAACATTGAGCAACCTCCACCACATTCGACAAGAGACGTCAAAAGTAGATATAGGATTTCAATGGAACTCATTACCTGACAAAACTTCTTCAATTGATTCATTGGATGCGTTCAAGAATAGTAAATTGTGTACGACTTAATTGTCCAAATCTAAATCAATAAATCCTGACCATGCTCCCTCCATCCCTTACTATAAGTCATCTCTAGACTTCAACAACCGCATTTCACAAATCACTCATCTCTCTATCGATTAACTTTAATTTATTTGAAGTTATATAAGTTTATATAAATTCAACATTATACTATTTTGAAGAATAAAATAAACAATTACATAGATTCAGACTTGTATCAGCTTAAAAAATAAACAATCTTATTGATTCAGCTTTCAGACTTCAACACCACCTCTTATCAGTTATAAGTTAAATAAGACTTCAGACTTCAGAAACTTTTAAAAAACAAACAACACCTAAGATTCTCGATCCTTGTTTGCCTCTTAGCACATAAGATTCTTAGTCATTTCCATGCTCACTCAATAAGCTAAATGACACCCAGTAAGTTTTCACCCGCATTTAGTAAACAGCCCCTAAATCACTTACCAAAACATACGCTGCAACAAATTTGGGTTCATATGACGAATAAAATGACTAACCGTCCTGGTAGAGTGTTTATAGGATCTAAGTTTATGTGACCAAACAATAAAATGTCATATCTAAAAGTGTTGCAATAAGTTTATAGAACATTTTTAGGCATTTTAACAAGTTTTCTATAACATTCTAAAATAAAAATGTCGTATCAGCTATTTTACATGATACTTTTGAATAGTGTTGTATAAACCCATCTTTTTATGAGATATTTATATTTATAGAACACTATTTCAAATAGTTTCATAAGAAATAGCTAATATGACACATTATTTTAAACATGCTCTAAAAAACTTGTTAAAACAGCCAAAAACTTTCTATAAACCTATTTAACACCTTTTAATATAACACCTTGTTGTTTGGTACAAATAAACTTAAGTCTTATAAAACGTTTCATTGGGATGCTTAAACATTCTAGATGTCCTATAAACCTAATTCCGTTAGGATGATTTACATTCTCAAGTGATCATTATTATAGTTAACAAACGTAAAATCGAAACTAAGTTCTATAAAACATTGACTTTTCTCTTTTCTCACAGAAAATATCATGTTTTAAAATTTGAACCTCAAAATTGAACCATAAATCTCTCTTGATATCCAAAGCCGGAAATCTACCATACCAATATTTAAAAGTCTATATTGACAATTCGGACATCCGTACTCTGGAAGATGTTTGTTGGTTGGAAAAAATAACAGTCATGATAAAGCAACAAGAAAAACCCACGCCTACCTAAAAAAACGTATCGAAAAACTAGCAACTATTAAAAAAAACTATTCGTCACTGGTAAACAACTTATTAATGGGATGAATATCCAAACGTCCGAATGACCCTAGATGGGCATCCAGGTTTGACTTTAAAAAACAAGTCCATATTTTTTCATTGTCTTTCACAAAATATTTGCAAAAGTCCATTTTAGAAATAAACTCGCTAAAACATACTGGTGTAGAAAGATTAGGTATTACATAACTCATTTGCATAAAGGGAAATCGTTTGGACTTGCTTGTTTCCATAGAGCGTGAAATTATCCTCGAGATTATTTTTACCATAAGCTTCTTTATGTCTCATCTTTTTGAACGTTTTCCGCTTTTTCTACTTTGATCTAAACACCTCCGGTAAGCACAAGTTCTGAAATCCATAAGGTTGTGTTTGGTATGCGGGACTAGACGAAACAAGACATAATAGAAACTTGGTGTGCTACATTTGAAGCGATATTAGACTGCGATAGGATGGGGTTCGGTGAAACCAAAATGCATTTTTTTTTTGTCCAACCAAAACAGATGGAGCAAAGATCACGAAGATATGATAAAAATTGGCAAATTACTAAATTAGACATGTTAAATTAAAACCCTAAAATTTTTCACAGTTCTTTCATCCGCCTATCTCAGTACCTCGAGTCCAGTCCAATCTAATATGTATACCAAACAAATAATAAGAATCCAAGATTAACAAATTTAAAATCTAGACAACTAGAACAAAATTTATTAGTAGCCATTTGTTAAATCATCAAACTCACGGATGCAACAAATGCATGGCAATGATTGTGTCTAATCATTTGATTTAAATTAGGTAGCAAATCATTTTTTGTATACATGTCTTAAAGAATATTGAATTCTAGGTAACCTATTATTAAATTTACATTTTTGGTCCTTTGATTATCATTCACTGTTAACTTTCGTTCTAAATTTAAACTAATTGTACTTTTAATTATTGTGGTTAATGTTTTAGTTGAATTTGGCCCTTTTGACTAATTCTCGTTAAAAAAATTTGTTAACTCGAAGGTCCTTTGGTCTCTTAGTAATTTTGTTTTATTTTAATTTAGAAATAAAACATATATATTAGCACTGATATACACCCGTAGACATAACATATGCATGTCATTTCCCCTTAGCCCGTCGGAGCCCTCCCAAAGCCTATCGGCCACCTCCCCTAGCAACAATTTATAGCATCTTGTCGTCGATCTGCAACACTGTGACTTGCAACCCTCGTGATCCCTCCATCGTTAACTCAGATCCATTTCCCCACCCCATCTTTCATCATATCGCCCCTTTTCAATAGAAAAACCAACGATTATAGAGATCAACACGTGCGTAACAAGGGGTTCCTTTAGGGTTTTTTTTTTTTTTTTTGCGATTCTATTGAAGAATTGAAGCAACTTGCTTTTTCAATTTGGTTTTTTTGTTTGATTACACCTGCTTTTTGGTATGTATAAGAGTTTTGCTTGAGTGTAATAAACTCACTAACAAATCCCAAATCGAAAAAAAAGAATTTACACTTGGTTTCAGATTTGTATTTGGGATTTGATTATTATTTCATTCGATTTGCTTGTTGAATTAGTATAAGGTTTTCAAATATGCATCTGAGTTTTGCTTTGTTTGGGATTGAGGCTTCATCGTGAGAGAATTCTATCGAAGTGATTTGGTGTTTTATTTTGATTTGGGTTGTATGCTAAACGTTTTTGGTGGTGGTGGTGGTAAGTGAATATTGCATTAAAATTTAAATAAAAAACAGAAAAGGACCAAAACTCTAATAAACAAAAAATTTAAAAGATAAAAAGGTAAAAAGACTAAAATACCCTATTAACTTAACTTATTTTTTTTAAACATACTTAACAAGATGAGTCAAATATGAACGAATGGCAACCAGAGGGACCAAATCCGACACAAAATGGCAAACATAGTGACCAAAAGTGTAATTAGTTTAAAATATGGATGAAACTTGGTGGTGAGTAGCAATCACAAACACTACAAAAATGCAGAGTATCAGCGAGGGAAAATTCCCTCG